TAACTTGATCAGTGTCAATTCTCTAGATCAGTGTTAATCAATAATCAGAATAATAACAATCCACCCTCTATTCCCGAGTTCTCGAGAAAGAAACTTCCGTAAAATGCTCTTGAAATCAACTACTAATTTCGTAACATCATGTATAACGTTATCAATCATTAATAGCAGTAATTGTAACACTACTGCATATTACATTTAATTAACCTGAAACCATTTCGCAGAAGCATCTCCCCAAGAACTCAGGAACAGCAGTTGCTATTATTCGGAGAACTTCGAACGAGCACGAACGCGGTGAAACATTCATCCGAGCAGACGAACGTCAAGTAAACCGTGCGTCTTTCGGATAATCGAGGCTCCACGGTATTCCAGTATCGCGAAATTACCGGCAAAGGCCGGGGTCCCCTTCATTTATTTCCCTGTCTCCTCGGCGTTCCGATCCACCTTCTTTTTGCGCACGCAACGCTTTTTCTTCCCTCCTGGTCGGAAGGGTTGCGTGTGAAAAAAGGAAAGGGGGCTTCGGCCGGGCGAGATGGCCGCACTGAAAAACGAGCCACGGCCGGGCCGCGCGATGACTTTCGGAATCATTTTTCAAAATGTCTGCCTCTGTCTCGAGGGGAGGTGGGTGGAGGGTCGACACCGACGAACGAAGGGGGTGGGAGGGGTGGGTGGTCAACCCCCGTAGCGAAGGGTGGCAAGATGGCGGCGCACGGTAAATCGATGGAGGCTAGTCACTGCAGGCGCCCTCGCTTTCACAATCTCCAAACTCATCCCCCTGTGCCGCCGCCACACCGCCAACATCACCGACCCCCGCCGCCTCTGCGGCCCCCTCATTTTCGAGCTTCACGCAAGCGCCCGCACCCTGGCCACGGTGTCTTCGGCTGGCCTAAGAATCATTTTCCAACCGATGACCTATGTATGTACACTCTCCGTGAAAACCGTTTCAATCCTCTTTGTCACGTTCTTTTCTTCTGGAATTAAAAAATATTCATCTTTTTTCAACGCGGGACGATCGAATAGTCAAACGTGACTGGTTTATACAGTCTTCTATGAGTTTTAGGAGCAGTGATTGAGACTGTTAAGGGGATTTTAATTGCAATGTTAGCAGTGTTTATTGTGTACGTTGTACGTTGTAGAAAGCTTTGATGGTAATAATTGGAAAATTAAAGTAAAACGGAAGGAAATCAATCTTGCAGCTGCGTAATTGAATATTACGTCGGTCAAATTTAATATGTCTAGAGGGAAGAGGGGGTAGAAACGAGGGGATGGTTTGTTCGGGTTTCCTGGTGGCTTATGTTTTCTGCAAGGTTCGTAAGAGGAGCTATGGAAAATTTTCTGTAAATTCATTCAAGTGTTCGGGTTGATAGAAAATAGAAAGTGGATAAATTTATAAGGAAAAGTCAGTTTATTTTGAATATTTCATGAAAACATATTTACGTTCTCAATAATCGCGAAAAGAGTAATTCGAAATTGGTATTTCTGTCCCATCTGGTCGTTCTAGTGTTAAACGATGGAAAACTGGATTATCTTCGATCGGGAAGGTACGAGGGAAAATTGACTTGGCCAGGTCATGTTTCTAAACCACTTTCGACGACTTTATTTTTACGTTTCTGATGGATATACGCGGTTCCGATGCGTCGTCGTTTTGAAACAGTGAAAGTGGAGAGGTTGGAAATAAAACTGTATTTTCAGCTGTGCGCTTAGTGTATATGATTCGATTATGTTCTTTACGGTGTATAGGTAAATTCAGTTTTGCGTTCGCGGTGAATTATTAATGTTTGACCCAAGGCGATTCGATAGTCTGCTGCATGGACAGGGAGGTGCTGGCGTATCGGTTCTAACGCAGAGTGTAACGCCTTTTAATTAAGTACTAAAAAATAACTTGAGGGCATAGAATTAATGAATAAATATAATTCTGTTGAATTTAACGTGATTTGATCTTGAATTATATCAAAGACAACGGAGTTTTTCATGACACTGCCTTATTCATTAAATTTGGATCAGATTAAATATTTGATCGAATTTATAATTTAGCTACTTTTGTATCGTTTTCAATATACTGAAACTGATTGTGTATTAATATTTAAAACTTAGTATAAGAATTTTCAATATTAATATTCTGCAAACTGCGCAATCCTTAATTATAACTGATAGTTTAAATATTTATTAAAAATTTATGCAGCTGATAGTTACAGCCTTGATTCGAGGTAAAAATACAAATGAGTGTACTCAAATCTGAAAAAAGGAATATTCTAGCAAATTTCGGTTTGCATAAATATTAAAATAAAATTTTCTAGACTTTTCTTCCTTGTAACAATGATTTCCTCAAGCAGTAACAAATTCTATTTATATCTATACTTTACTGTCTTTAAAATTACCTATCGCCTGTAAACGCTGAAAAATAATATACATAAAAATATTTGTAATTTTCTGTCAAGATTATAAGTGTTAACGCTGTTTCATAGTTTACGTAATTCGGTAGTATCATGTTATTCTGGTTGCGTGATTCGCTAATTTAAATATCCAGCAACCAGTGAACGATACTGTCTATATGTCTTCAATTGAAATAAAAAGTAAGCGTATCGGAAAAAGGCGAAACTAAAAGGAAGAAGAAGAAGAGTCCAATACGGAAGCAACGAAGAGCAACGTGAAAAATAAAAGCTTTCAAAGGAGTCTGTGAAACTGGTTTTTATTCGCTGTAACCGGTGCAAACCTGTTTGATTCTGTCTGAGAAACGAACGCTTGCCGAGGGTGAGAACTTGCGACGGCCACGGAAAAAAGCATACGGGAGCGCCGGAGTTAGCTGGCACAACAGGTTTCCGTCTCTTAAACCTTTAACTCCGAGATTTTTTCTTTCGGTCGTTTATTTCACACCCTGAAGGGTATTACACCTACCCGCCGCATAACGGAGTTAAAATAATTGAATTAAAGTCTGCTTATCATATAAAAACGCGTTAAATAAGCTGCGGTTTATTCGACAGTATGGCGGAGCGCGAAATTCTTCGAAAACTTGTTTCCTCTTGATCGTGCAAAAGGAAGAGACTCTTTAACAGCAAACATTCGATATTTAAATAAAGGAAGAATAGAACAGATTTGAGCCTTTTATATACTTGCGATTGATGTGTATGTAATTTTATATGTAATGTTATTGTCATTTGGATTTTTAATTCTTGTTAACTGGATGTATTTAATTATTTAAATTTGTTGTAATATATAAATGACGTCGTATTACCAGGGTATTAATAATTAATGCGTGGATATTTAAATATACATGACAGTGAATTATATGGAGGTTACGTTAATGTAAAAGTATTTTAGCTAATACTCGTGGATTTTTAAAGAAATTAATGTTTTGGAATATATTATTGCTTACTTAATATATATTTTTTAAACTGATTTTCGTCTTATTTAAATTTTTAATCTAAATGAAACATGCTGTTTCCTGTTACCTTTCTCATAAGTTTTCTTAACTTTTTATGTATTTGTCTTCAATTGACACATGTTTCAGAATTGTCAAAGATTGTTAAATGAGTTACAACTTATTGTCAGAGTTAATGTAATTGTAGACATGTTGCAATAACTTATGAGAAAATAAAATGAAAGACAAGTAACTTTAATAATACACATCAATAACTGCATCGCGTCATTAATTAGAATTATGTAATTATTCGGTATGAATACTTACTACTATACAGTATATATAAATATCGATAATACGGAACATTGAATTCATTGTATTCGTTAAATTGACTGTTATTCGTACAATGAAAATACTATTTCATGAAAGCAAGATCAGAATTACAGAATATTAATTTTATTGTTCTGTACCTTCTGTTATTATGATAATATTCGGCAAACATATCATTACCATTTTGGCAAGTTTGAAACATGATATTAAATATTTACATTGTTTTGTATCTATAAGTTTCGTTCTTGTGAAATCATTGAACTCATTATTCATACGTATAAGAAGGGTATATAAAAAATATTATTAAGAGAGTCAAATATGTACAAAAAGAACGATCTCATCATTTTTGCAACAACAGTGTTTTTAATTTATTACCATACAGTAAAAGATTTTACAAAATTTTACATTTAAATGTAATATTGAATTCATCATGATCGTTGCAGGAAAAAGTAACAGCGAACAAGTTCATATTAATATGAATCCGATTATTAGATTTTTCGAAAAAATGTTCATCTAAGTCTCCTTATCCAAGTAGCTGACTTTCTAACAGCTTTGT